TATTTTTTTTTTTTTTTTTTTTTTTTTTTTTTTTTTTGGAAAAATAATTAAATTTTAGCAAAGATCAGAGCCAGATTGGAAAGCAAGGACAGAGGAAGATATAAGGAGTACATCATATTATCGTGAGTTCTATACACAAGGAATAAATGTTCAATGAATTTGTTTTATTTAACAACGAACATTGATCTTTACAGCACAAAGGTATAACTGGCCACCTCTGCCAGACAAATGCTGTTTTCAACCTTGCTTCTACCAGGATATTGATGTTGAAATTCATACAGACTTTCAGAAGACAGTCAGACAATTGTATCGCCTATGGATGTGTAAGTTCAATGCGCTGCAATTAATTCTAATAAATAAAAGAATAAATTAAATAGGAAAAATGATAATTTCAAATTGCAGTTCACGGCTGTGTTTTAATTCTCAACGTTATCGGCGGATTCATACTGCTTTTGTGTAGCGAAGGATTTTCCACATTTGGTCTTGGGATATTATATTTAATACTTTTTACTCCATTCTCGTTTTTATGCTGGTTTAGACCAGCATACAAAGCTTTTAAGTATGTATCCAATCGTGCACCAACGTCTCGGCATTCTATTAGTTACTATTAAATAAATTTTTGCTTTTTAGAAACGATAGCTCTTTTAACTTCATGGTATTTTTCTTCGTCTTTTTCTTTCAATTAATTGTTACGGGAATACAGGCCATAGGCATTCCTGGCTCAGGAACTTGGTAATACTTTAATTCCTGAAGATACAAATCTTTGCTTGTGACAATATATTAACATTATAATTATTTTACAATTGCAGTGGCATTATACTTGCTATCACGATGTTCGACAAAACAGCTAAAGGAATATTCGTTGGTTTTCTACTGCTCCTTATTGCTCTCTGTTTCGTTCTGGCTGCATGTGGAGATCTGCTATTATTGACCAAGGTATAGTGTCAAATTTGTTTAGCTTTGAAAAAGAATTTTTACGAATGAAGAGACCGTAGGAGAAAAATAGAATTCGTCTACAAATTTATAGAGATCCACTTTCTATTTCTAGCTTAAGGAAGGAATAACTTCACGATGTATCAGTTAGTTTAATTTTCATTAATATCTTAAATGTTCACGGCTAAGAATACAATAGAAAATTGATTGAATATCAAACAGTTCTATCACAAAAAATGAGAAATAAAACTTATCACTATTTTTTGCCTGCGGTCTTATAAATATAAAAAAAGGAAATATGCTTTCCAGATTCATAAAATATATCGCTCATCGGATGCGAGCGTTTCAAAAGCGCAACAAGAGTTCGCCACGACTTTTTTGCGAAATGAACACGTGCAAAGTGCAGCAAGTAACGTCGCTGCAACTGCTGTCCGCGCCCAAATGGCTAATGCTGCTAATCAACCACGCTATTAAAGCGATTTCTCAACACTCGAGGACTAATTTTTCAGGTACTCTTGACATTTTACCGTTCAGTAAAATTGTCTCTATAGATCGTCTTAGTTTCGACGCATCTAATATGCATTACGCGAGATTTGCAATGTTCTACAGAAAATTCTATTCTTGCATTGAAAAACAAAAAATTATACTATTTGTGCGTAAAATAATCTTTTTTTCTTGATGCGTTAAAAATTTCATTCGTATATATTTATGAGAATAGGATAATTACGAACTTATTTTTCACGTACTTCTTTCTCTCACGTAACAGTATTTTAAATCAGATTAACACACAAACTATCGTGTGTGTGGTTACGTCTGTGTATTATCTAACATATGACGTGTACATCATCTTTTTGTTCGTACAAGATTAAAAAATGAGTCATAAAATAATTTATCATCTACTAGAGAAACGAGCTAATAATAATCATATCACTAATTCTTATATTATTGCTTCTATATATTAAATCGATATATTTGCTAGCTTTTGTATTTTAGTGGCACCTTAATCATAATGTCGTAATCACACATGGCTTCGTACAAAACGAAAAGCGCTCGGTTTTGTTAAAAATCAAAATAATTTAATTTAAACAGGAAAATGCGTTGTGTATCCACGAGTATAGCAGTTAATTTCTTATTTGTTTTATGAAACGTTAATTTAATCGTATAATGTTACGGAATAATTGAACATCTTTTTGTCTGCCTTGATAACATCTTATACATTCCTTGAAATGTGTAATATATGGCCTTTCTCTTTAATTAAGCACTTGTTATTTAGATCTTTAAAATATTCTATCACTTTGTAAAGTTTAAACTATATACATATAAATATTATATATATATATGTGTGTAAGAGGTATTTTGAAAAGAGAAAGCAAAGCAAATTTACTTTTACATATGTTTAATTATTTATTAATTGTCGATAAATTATTTATAGAGTACGAAAATTTGGTTATATCACTGTTATTACTTTGTTGGATTTAATTTAAATGTCTCAATGGATTTTACATCAAGTAAAAAAGAAGAAAAAGAAAATGTTTGGAAATATAGGAGAGTTGATGGATCTTTGTTATTTATTGAGAGCTTAATCAAACAGAGATATCACGTCCCCTCCGAATATATTTTTTACATATGTGACGACATGATTTAAATTGATTGCAATGATTATCACACATCTTTATTGTATAGCAATCAGTAATGGAATATTTTGTTTTGTATGATAATAAAAGACGAAAAATAAGAAGGAAATGTTTAAATTTTATAAATACGCGCTGAGACATTTGTACTTATGTAAGCAGCAAAGAGAGAGAGAGAGAGAGAGAGAGAAAGAGAAAAAAGAAAGACGACAAATAAAAATTTAGTTTGCTCATAAAAAAGACAGAAGAGATCTCTTTTACTTCAATGATTAGCACAAAGAATTTCTCCATATAATACTTACAATAAATATTCCAAACTCTCTAAACCGATAATGCTCAATAATTTTTTACCTAGAATTTCAGAATTATGATTCATCGATCTCGATCCACGATTAGATAAGCTTATCTTTCACGTTGATAAATAGAATATGCATTATGAAAAAACAGACAAAAAGAACAAATGTAAAACGCACCTTCAAATCGATACGTAGCCATCGGATCGGTTGGAAACGGACAACCAAGATTCGTCTCGAACGTAGATCCTGTTCCAACTAATTTCGCCACAAATATAGCGTCTATCATTTCTATACTTGATCTGTACATTAATCTAGCGTGTCCTTCGGCTAGCCTGGAGAAAAATTGTTAACGCTAAATGTTTAAAGAAAACGCTTTGAATGTCTTGTCTCTTGTTACCTAATAAGACTGTCCAAAAGCCGAACCGTTGTTCTTTCTTCCCTTCTGTCCGGATGAGACCTATGATAAAGATAAGTCGCTCGAAGTACCATTTCCGCTTCCTTCGTTGGTTTCGGCTGCAAGTAATGCACATAAGCCAAATATTCTCGCAAAATATCCTCTTTCCATAGGTTTTCGCTTCTTAAAAGTTCTATGTGATTTTTCGAATCTCTGTGAAATCGACGATCGTTTGAATTAAGAATTTAGAATAATTTAATTTAGCAAGAATCGTTTGCAAAGATTTTACGTTTGAACAATGTTCTCTTTCTTTTCGTAAGCAGCCTTCAGAATGTGATCGGACGTCAGCTTGTCCCACTCTGGATTTCTATTGTCTTTCAAAAGCAGGATTATATCGAAACGAGATAAAAGTGGATCTCCTAGATTCGTTTGCCATTCCTCGTCCTCGGTAAATTGGCCACCAGTTGGATTAATCGCCGCGATCACCGAACACCTGGAGTTTAACGTGCTAACTAACCCAGCTTTGGCAATTGATATCGTTTGCTGTTCCATAGCCTCGTGAACAGATGTTCTATCCTGCGAGTTCATGGTTGTAAACTCATCCACGCAGCAGACTCCTCCATCGGCTAACACTAGAGCTCCAGCTTCTAAATGCCAACCTTCTGAATCCTATAATATGTGCATATGTAAAAAGAATATTATATGGATATATTAATTAATATGGATATATTAATTAATGGAAGACAGAAGATATATGGTGTACGTCAACTAACTCTAACTGCAGTTGCTGTGAGACCAGCTGCAGTCGATCCAACACCGGTTGTAAGAACAGATCTTATAGCCAAACGAGAGGCCGTACGAAGCAATTGGGATTTGCCAGTTCCAGGATCACCGACTAACAGAAGATGAGGTTCTCCTCGTACACGTGTCCCTTTTTTTTATTGAACGTGATTGTATTTTGTGTTAAGAAAGTGATAAAAAAAAAAAAAGGGTGATGAATAATTACCGCTTTCGTTACACTTTGACACACCACCAGCTAGAACGACAGCTAACGCCAATTTTGCAGTATACATGCCATAGAGCTTAAAATAATAATTTTCGCATAAATGATTCGCTATACATATAATTTTTTGTTAATTTATATTGTAAATGAGTGGATACCTGTGGGCAAATAGATGCAAGAATATTGTCTCTACCAAGCAAAGGATTATCGCTACATTTTTCCCAATAATCCTTGAAAACATCCCTCGTCTCCTGCGAAGACGAGGTCTCACATATTTTACGTCGTACTGCGATGCTATTTGCTAGCACTAACGTCGTTGCTTCTAAACGTTCACCAACCTCTAAGGAACTCCAAATTCTTACTACAACGCCGCTACAAGTGTATGGAACAATTTAAATGATATAAGTTTTATTTGTGACAAGTACAGACGGTAATAAATTTATTTACCTAATCTCAACATGATCTCCTGGTCTACATTTATCCACTAAATCATCTAGTAACGTAACTCTCAATTCCTCCGTCAAAGTTACATTTGAATCTGTCTTATTCTTTTCCTAATCAAGGAGACTGATAATTAATGACATTAATATAAGTGGTACAAGATAATTATGAAAATTAAAAGGATAATGTACTTGCAACCCTATTTCCTGGCAATCTGAGGAATCCTCTAAATCAAAGCCAGATACAGGCTTCAATTTTGATGCATCACACTCTTCACAATTTGTGACATCTGCAAAAGTCTGTCTCTCCCATTCATACTAAAAGCAGATAGTATTTAAAATACTAGCTAATAAAAGTTATAAGTCGTACATAATACATTCAACTGACATTAGCAAAAGTAACATGTTTACACTCTCTACAAATAAGTCTCTGAACAGTTTTTAATATTGTTGGTTGAGAGATCCTAACAATGATGCCACTTGCTGAGACTAATTGACCAATTTGTCCTTGATCCAGTGTAATTGGCACAGCAGTGATTCTAATACGAACCTATCCAAATATATATTTTTTAAACTACTAAAACAGAAAATTTTAATAAAACAGATTTCGTATTAGTATTACTTTTGTCTTAACACTTTGCTCCGGTTTTGCTATTTCTTTTTGCGCCTCCACTGCTGATTTGTCACAATGTGGTAAATAATATCTTGGATAATGTAAAATTTTTTGCGCTACATCTGCATCGTTCTCAAATAGTGACACGAAGCTGCAAGGAAAGCGTTCTTATTATACGAAGAATAAATGAAAGTGTAAAAAACTTACTTTACGTAGATCGAGTAGTAACAAGTAGAATCTATATTGTCTAAAATTTCTTGAAGTTCTTCTTGGTGATTTTTTAATAGAAATTCTTTCAACATTTTGAACGTTCACGCACGAACGTAGAAATTAAGGTTAGGAACACTCATCGTCGGACATGTTACTCATTTCCCGCCAAAACTGCCACGTGCATTCATTCAACACGTGCTTTCATTCTGATATATCTTGCTTCAATCATTACTACGCAGTCGCATTCTCTAATTGAAAAGTACGGTTGATTGAATTAAACGAGGTAGAATATTTTGTGAAAAAGTGGTACAAGTTATCATTTGATTCCATTTTAATATTTCGAAGTATACAAAATTTTCTGCTAAACTCGGACTTTATAATTTTTCCAAATAAAAAATTTGATCATTTATAGCACTTTCGTAAATTTATATTCTTTTCCAGTATTAAATACAAACAATATGCATGGCATTGTGAGATATGCAAATAGATGTATATAGAATTTGTAAGTCCCTTGTACCATTTCTCTCTGAACTTTCCAATTTGAAACAATATTAAAAATAAATTACATGTTCCCTAAAAATTGAATACAGACGGTATTCATTCTGTCCCGTGGTATGTGATATATAAAATACATGAAATTTGAATCGAGTCTCGTTAATATTCTCCAAAGGGACGGAAATATTTTACGAAGACCAATGCAGCCACGATTTGAATGTCTGAAATTTTACGTTTGCTGGAATTCCTTCGCCCTTCACGCCGATTTAATAAAAGAGCCATATCGATTACTTGTCGTGAAACCGCATTGGCAGTTCACCCATTAATCGATTTTCGCGTCTTCCTATCCATCTCGTAATTCTGTTCCCGTGGTTTCGCGCGGAACCCTGCGGTAAAACTTGTCCCGCAACAGTGAAAACCTTTTCGGTGTCTACCTTTCATCGGGAAACCCTCGACGTTCCATTAATCGCGCGTTTAAAACAGAAACTTGTAAATAAAATGTGTTCTTATGAAAGCGAGAAAATGTAAGTACTTTCTTTTCTCTGTTATCTCTATCGGAATAGAATGTACACACGCTTTTTACTCCCTTTTTTATTTTTATTTTTATTTTTATTTTTTTTTTTTTTTTGCGAAACAAGTCTCAAATGTGAGAAACTTGCATTTTCAAGGGATTTTATTTGACTTTAATCTGACTAATTGATATCACTAGACATTGGGAAATTGGGAATCATAAAAATTTAGATATTTTTAATTTGATTTAAAGTGATCGAAATAACCAATTCGTAATTTTTTTTTTTTTTTTTTTATTATAGAAATTTTCTAGATTTGCAACGATGTATTTTTAGAAGGTTGAATAATTTTCCCGTTAAATATTCAACTGAAAGCTTGTGCTCTCTCTATCGTATTAAAAACTTTTCCTTATTTCATGCAATTTACAAGCTTTACACTTTAGTTGTTGGTAGTTCTAGTGTTAAAAAGTATTTCGAATAATTTTAATCATGAAAGTTCCATCGCCTACATTACGCGAGCCGTTTTATCTGCAACGGAGGTCGTTCGTTCATATTTCAAACGGTAGAACGCGAGTTAAACACATGACGCCCGCGTATCGGTGTTACGATATCATTAGTAACGATTCCCTTTACGAGCTCTTCCCAAGTTATAAATTACTCGTTGGATTCGCAGTTGCCAAGGGGAAGGAATCGATGTAATTAGCGTGGCCGTATGCGTAGCAAATGCACGTTCCTACGTATAATTGCTCGCTGTACGATCAAAACTTGCCTCGTCTCGAAATGGAATAACTCTCCGCCAAACCTACAGAACCAAGCCCCTAACTTGCATTTGTCTTGAGAGCGCGTGTATCCCATCTTCGTGAATCTTTCTAATTTATCGTTCTCATCTGCCTGAATTTTCACTTTTATTCACTTGTTATAAATCTATCTGTTCGTTGGATCGAATACATCGAACGAAATAATACAATTTGAAGAGTATCCCTCTTATTGAAAATATATTATTCTTCAAATAATGAATGTTCGTACATGGCAGAAAACATAGAAAAATTTAATTATCATTCAGAAAGTAGGTCAAGTTTCTTTCGTCTAATTTTACATAAATATTTCTTTTAATCATCAACCTTTTAACCAGAACTTAACACAATTTATCTCGTCATTAGATAAATTAGAAAATCTTCAAAATTCCATCGATGTAGAAACATTTTTTCAATGACGAATTAATTCGTCATCCCTTGTTAAACTATGCCAACGCGTAGGAGATGATATTCCAAAAACATATTAGCATTGCGTGTTAAGGCTGACGATGACAAAATACATTACATTTTTGTTTTAGACAGACAAACTGTAATCGCCAGTGTTGCTGATTAAAGGGTTGTCAATCTATTTGAGCGTGTTGCATACTAGTTTTCTTATGTACGTGCGGGATGTTAGCGGTGTCAAGTTTTGGGTGAAGTTTCAGGATAGGATATCCTTCGGGAGCGTCGAGGATTATTCGAAGTGGTTTTGTACTATTTGAACTTTGATCAAGTGGGATTTGGATCTTGGTATTCGTGTAAAAATTCCTTCGGTCGCAATCTACGCAATGTATATGTATTCCAATATCGAAGATCTAAACTGAAACCCTTCCTTTTCTATTTTAATTTCGAAATTTGTAAATGATATTGCCAAGTTTTGCGTTTGTTACATATTTCTCGACAAACTAGACTTTGCAACTAGACGTTTCTTTTTTCCCGTGTTGTTGGAATAGCGAATTTTTTCGGCGAAAACGTCGCGGAACGTAAAATTTCCCTTGTCAATAGCTCGGACAAGTGTAAATTGTTGACGACGGGATCGTGTGTGTGTACACCGCATTTCCTGCGGGCGCGATTCTATGTAAGTTGTCACCGGCAGGCAGTCGTGGAAGGTTTCCAGGTGAAATTACTGCGACTTGTGTGCATGGTAGTCGCGACAGGAACGTGTTACTGCAACTCGTATATTTATTTTAATTTTTCCATAACGCAAACTCACGACGCGAAAGATATCTCATTTGTGAGTATCTACTAGGACAATTATTCGTCTAAGGATATAACGATTGATTCAGTGATCAATTAGCCGAAATTTTGGATTCAATAAAAATGCTCATGAAAAATGTTTCATACAATAAATAATTCACACAATAACATTCATACAAGAGTTTTGTTAGAGCAGTTTTATCACACGCGACAATCTTACAGAACCTTTACAATTTAAACTTTCAAATCACTCACAAGTTACTTAACACATATATTATACGATATGACAAGAGAATGCGCAATTCGAAATGGAATTGAAGTGTATGCTAAAAAAGAGCGTTTCAAAGTGAAGAACAGTTTTGTTCATTGACACGGTGTATTTACAATTTTATAGCGTAAGGCAATTAAACCGCAGCAACGAGCAGCAGCACGCTTTATGGAATTTCTGTCGCTCCTTTAGCAAGTACATTTCACTATTTAAACGCAATGAACGTGCGCGAAATGAGCTGCTAATAATTCAGAAACCTCTTAAATTCGAACCAGCCGGAACATGTGAATTCATAATCGCGTGTATAACTTCGGAAATAAGCGGCACAGTACGTATGTATTTCGCGTCGCCGGAAATAATTCAAAGAGTGTGCACGCTCCTCGCGAAGCTTGTTCTTTAATCAGCGGAATCTCGTTTAATTTATTTGAGAGAGCCGCGCTGTTTCGCTCGTTTCGCTGGTGATTTTGTTAAATCCGCGTGTAAATCGCCAGTACCGCCAGGCGTCACTTTCGAAGATAATCAAACAATAAGGGCTAACGTTTCAACGAGTGAATCGAACAATTACATTTCTCTGATCGACAGAAGTCCAGCCGAACACCTCAAATCGTTCGTAATTATTGGACTCCGGATTTTTATCGATTTGTGGGAAATCGATAGATGAGAAAATGCACAGAATGCGCTTGATTCGTAAAAATTCATAAATATTTAGAATAAAGTAATAGTATAGGGTAGAATAAACCAGAATAGAATATCAATTACAAATTCGCTGTACAGTAGATAAAACAAATCTTTCTTCACGTAATTTTTTTCTGAACTCTTCGACCGGCTGATTCACCCCCCCCCCCCCCAGTTTCTTCCACTAATTTCACAAGCACGCCGCCGAGAGGTAAAAAGCGTTTCACAGGAAGAGCGGAAGAGTAGTAGGCAAGAAAGGTGATCTAAAGGGCAAGGAAGGTCTAAAAGGGAACATCGGAGAAAAAGGGTGGCGACGAAGGGAAACTGGGGGAGGGAGGGGATTAGTGGCATCTTGTCCAGCAAGGATTGCACGTCGTACGGAGGTCCTATGGTTTAATAATACATCCTCGGATCGTTAATCACCCTGGTGAAATATAATTTAATACCTGAACGAGCGAGGGCCGACCACTAAAAATGACGAACGACCAGGAAACACGCGGCTAACTCGCTAGCCAGCCCCTTCAGCGCCCTGGCTATAATCACCACCTAGTGCCATA